AAGTTATGGAACCATTTGCATATTCAGCAGATCTACACCTGAGGGAAACATCAGATTCTTAGTCCAAACACACCTTTGTAAAAAGGTGCAAATGATACCTAATGTATCAATTAATAAGACTAAGTTTGAATACTTGCACGTCTCATCGGTCTGAAAGAGAGGTTTGATGTAATCTGAAGGTTCCAGTTGATCTTTGCTGAAGTTGGTTGATGAAAAAGAACCAGTTTTGAGTCAGAGAATCTTGGTGAATGAAAAAGTCAAGGCCGAAGCCTGGCACGATCTTAGAGTTTCCTGGAGCATTGCAGCTCACATTTTCATCTTCTCAGAATACAACCGAACCACCGACTCTGGGCGGGTCACATGGGGTGATGCCTTTAAGGTCTGAGAAGATTCACGCCTCTCAAGATGGGCTTGTCCAATGAGAAAGGCAGAAATTCCAAGCGGGAGGTTGCAATTGCTGGAGGGTTTTACGACCCTTTGTGTGAGGGCATGGTAATTTGCAAATGTAATTCGCTTGGGGTGTTGATGCACAAACTAATAAAGATTCTTAGAACACTAATATGTTGCATAGGTATAAACATACAATATACACTCTCAATTAGATCATCCGAATACGAATTAATAGAGACCAAACACGTTATATGTAAGGTTACATGAATGAGTGGTTCTATCATAAGCATGCATAAACTAGTCTACAATACAACAGATAATATACAAGACAGCAATAATATACACAATGACCTGAAGGATATGTGTGTTCATTCACAGAAAGGTTTTCCTATTCATTAATTAGAGAAGAGTCAATTTGTACTGTGCACTGTGGATTTCCTATGGAAATTGTAGTGAGAGGGGTGACTCTCAACATGCCATTAGGTCGTAAAATCTCTCTGGTCTAGCAAAGGTGTCAGAGTTGCCATGGTAACCAGGGTCCTGGGCCTCGTTCCCAGACATCTTGGCACCCAGTATGTTTATTGGGTGAGGGGGTCTGTGAATGTTTGTTAATCTAATGAATAATTGATTTGATAAATCAAATGAAAAATGGTGTGTCTGATTGGTCCAGACGCTACAAATATCTTGTTATATGTGCACTCAGACTGATTTATATACATGACTGGATTGCTCATGACATCATAAATAAACAAAGCCAATCCACCACGATATTAGTATTCCCTAATATTCGGTCACATTCTTTTGAACAGGAAATCATCAGATTTTACTGAATCAACATATTTATATCTTGCTGGAAATTTTTTTCTTTTTATTCATTAAATCTTTATCACAGCAGTGAATATTAGTTGAAGGACAAGGCACTTTAACATTTTGTGGTTTTTAATGATGAGACCTTTTTTGTAATCAGGCTCTCAAAAAGTATATAAAAATTTGGATATAGATTAATCGGCCAACATATCGGTTATCGGCTTTCAAAAATAAAGGATTATCGGTTATCGGTATCGGCCAAAATTTTCATATCGGTGCATCCCTACTTAAAATGCAAACTGTTATGCTAGGAAAAAAAGGAATTTGAGCTGACCTGAAGCTTTTGAACAGTTTCTGAGATTTCCAGGAGTCTGAAGTTGACGGTTGTCAACAAAAAGACATCTACAAATATGTATTTATGTATTTGTTTTTTGTCCCACTTAACCGTCCTCATAATGTTGCTCATTTCTGGGGGGGTTTTGTTGTTGTTTTTTTTCCAGGCTTTGGATAGTACTGGTCTGCCAGGGATGGACAGAGTGGACAGCCTGGCAGAGTATCTGGTGGAGCTTAGGAATCAGCCCTCTCTGGCCCTCACCAACCAGCAGGTTAGGAACATTCAAGTTTCTCTACTTTCCCTCCTTGACCTGTTATATGTTAACACTTGCACATGTTTTGTTTTCTCATTTATTATATGTTCTTTCTGCTTAGGTGAGCAATATAGTTGTTCTTTGGCAGAACCTGCTGGACTATGATAAGCAGAGGGTAGTGTTTGCTGCTAGACACCAGAGCAGGCTGGACACAGGGAGGTTCAGGTCCCCCAAGAAGAGGCAGGAGGTCACTCCGGGGGGGGGGAGGGTGAAGAGGCATGCACTCAGCCCCACTTGCCCAGTGGCCAGATTGTTGTCGCCTGATAGAGACCATTTTTGTCAGGCTCTGCGCCATCCATAAGAGTCCCAAAAAGAAGGGGACAGGCGCAGTGTCCAGGTGGGACCTCATCTTGGAGGACTACAGGAAAATCAGGCAGCGCATTCTGGCCAATGCTGCTGTTATGCAGCAGACCACCCTGCAGCTGGTAGATGTGAGCCACACCACATTGGTTCAGTGGCACAACAGGAGAGTGAAAAGGCAGGACAGTGCAGTATTGATGCAAGGGCTGCAACTGCCTAGCCGCTTGTCTGTGGCGGCTGACCCTCTACTCCCTGCCAATGTGCGCCCCCCGTCTGCGCCCCCCCAACCAGGCCCAGCTCACCAATACCACCTGCCCAGTAGCACCGTGGGCCAGGCACAGACGAAGAGGAAGAGGAAAATACCTTCAGCTCCAGTGGTTTTGTCACCGCCAGCTGAGAGACCTCAAACCCAGCGGCAACTCTTCCCTGCTCCACCCCCAGGTGCTCAACTGGTGATGCTGATGCCAATGGCCTCACAGGGACTAACAGGGCCTGTCCTAGTTGCTGCTCCACAGGCTCTCAGGGCCAGCCTCTCCTCTGCCCTTCCTGCTCCTGCTGCTGCTCCAGTTTGAAAACTGACTCGCAAAGTACAGCACAACACATGCAAAAAATGCGGGCAGTTCAGGACAGCGGAGACTGGGCATAGCCAATACAAGGGCATTATATACTGCCCCTCTGTAGAGACTGTACCAAAGGAGCAGTGGATGGAGGATATTAAAAAAACGAAATGAAAAAAAAAAGAAACACTGGTCTTTGATTTGAAGTTTTATTTATGTGTATAGTTATTTTTGTTGTTGTTGTTTTTTGCACAAGAGACATGGGAATTTGAGTTTTATTTATGTTTAAAGAATACACAGCCATGGACATTGGAAAGTTTTGTTTATGTGTATAGTTTTGTTTTCTGTTCTTTTGCGCTTGCAAAGAATGCACCAGAATCACAAATATTTTAAAGATTTATTCATGTGTATTGTTCTGTGCTTTCTGTTATTTTGCACTCACAAAGACTAAACAAGAGCCATGGACATTTTAAAGTTTTATTTGTGTGTAATGGTCTGTGCTTTCTGTTCTTTTGCACTTGCAATGAATGCACAAGAGCCATGGACAATGGAAAATATTATTTATGTGTATTTTTCTGTTTTCTGTTCTTTTGCATATGCAACATAATAGGTCGCTGGTTCGACTCCGGCTCGAAGGAGGTCTGTTTTAAACTGCCCACCTTTTTTTGGTTTGGCTGGGTTTCTCGCAGCAGCAAGCACAGCTTCACTTCACAGTCCACCGTTGGAAGGCAAAAGAGCATTCTCTGATTGGGAATCGCGGCAGTGAGAGCACCAAATCCTAACCACTAGACCACCAGGGAAGGGAGATTTGGATGCTCTCCTGATAGCAGCATGAGAATAAGCAGACAGCAATTCTGGCCTCTGTCACGTCGAAAAACAACAAGTCTGGAGCGATCGCGACACATATCAGTCGGTGGGCCACTGGCGCAATGGATAACGCGTCTGACTGTGTTTGAGTTTACCAGTTTGAGGTATCTTTTCAGCAATCACAGGAATCTGCCAAAAAAACTGAACCCCCTGGATGAGTCAAACAACAGACCCCTTGAATGCATGTGTTGTGGCAAAAACAATTACTAACAAAATAGCATCACAGAG